AAAAAAAAAAGTCAAAATAAGCAGAAAGGTCAAAGAAAGTCACTCAATTGCCACAAAGTCGTGAATGCTAAGGCACCTGCTCCTCTGTAAACACCTTCAGGACAGAACCAGTCTGCAGGTTATGTTAGAATTTTCATTACCTTTCAAAAATTATTAAAATGCAACTTTGCATAGAAATGTCCTCTCACAGCACAAGGACACTTCCAAGGTGAGTCCTGCGTGAACTTAAAATAACAGTTGGTTTACTGAGACAGTAAATCAACCCTTCTCAAAAGAACACTTAAGGGGGTGCTGATGGATGACTTGTGATTCAATAAGCTGAACATCTAATGAAAGCTAGAACAAAAAGTTACCAATATCTGCTTACTAGCTTTGCTCTTGGGTGTTTTCAAGGCTGCCATTCCACACCAATTTAGAAATAATTATGTTACACTAAACTATACATGCATTACTTAAATGATAAAACCTTAGAATAGCAGCCAAGGAGGCAGAAGCTCAAGTTGACAGGCTCCCTCAAATCTCCAGAGCACACAGCCCAACACATTCCCTGGCCCTTGAGCTAGCCCAGCAGAATATATGGATCTTGACAGCAACCAAGTTTAAAATTTTATCAAGGGAAAAGAAAGAATTAAAATGCATCATATAAAGGCAAATAATTCTAGCTGCAATGTTCTCTACTTCCCTCTGTAAAGCACAAGTTGTTTGAACTGCATTGAATCAAAATTAGAACACAACAACATTCTACCATAGAGTTAATGGGTTATGTGTTGGGAAAAGCAAACTACAAGATAGGTATCATTAAGGAATTTCCATTTCAAGGACTCCTTTTTCCTTACAAGTCACTCTGCCTTTGATCTTCTAACACCTACTTTCTGCTCCTAAACCCTCATCCTATTGTTCAATAAGCCCTTTGCTTCTGATTTTATTAAATTAAATTAGGTAATGTGTATCATTTGCATGACAATTCTGCAATTTAATCCAAACACTACTATTGCCTAACAAAAAATAATCAAATATGATCTATGCATTAAAAATCAAAGACTGCCCCAAATCTTCAAGGAATGTTACTATTTATATTTTGTGATAAATTCCTTTCCTGCAAATTCAGGCAGCACATAAAGCCATATGACAATGGCTTGAAAAGCCTTTTTTTTTTTTTTTGCAAAGAATAATCTGGGTTTTATTTTAAGGGAACCATAATGCCTGAACTCAAATAAAGGAATTTAGGTGTTACTGCTCTCCTGGACCACTCTCCAATTACTCGTAACATTGTGTGTCCTTAAACACTTCCTGTAATTACTCCTTTCAGGAAGATAATTGTTAGAACTCAATATTAAAGAATCCATCCTTAGGGACTATAATCAATCAACAGCTTTGCTTAATACAAATAAGCAAGGAAGTCTGTGCCCAAATGAAGTTACCAAGCGTTTACCCACACTAAGAACTGCAGTGGTACAAAGCTACCAGTTAGAAGTTAATATTTAAGATGGAACTAGATTTAAAGACACTAAATTTCAATTAAGTAAGTAAAATAACACCTTCTGAGATTTACTGATTAACGAATAATCTTTTTTATTGTTTATAACCACCTCCTGTATTTAGTTAATTGAACTAAAAATTATTAAAACAGTATCAGCTAAAAGCATGTCAGGTTTTAGTTTGCTCAGATCTTAGTAAAACATTAAACACCTGAGTGAATCTTAAACAAACGACACAAGAATCTTATGCAGAAGTCCTATTTGTGGATGCCAGCCTGGAAGGAAGCAACCATGATTACCCACCCTGCAGTCAGTTCCACATTCATTTCACTTTCACCTTTGGTTACAACACCAATGACAGATCAATTCAGTGTCTACAATTTCTTGAAGGATTTATGGGCAGCCTACCTGGAACATCAGCACTTGAAAGACATCTGATGACTTGTCAAACTCTATTAACTACATTTTTAAATCACCACTTCCCTAAAATACAGTTCATTTGCTAACTCTCTTCAACTTAAATTATGCACCTGCTTTTGACAAGAATCCAACTCAACCTCATTTTTGCAATCAAGTTTAGCAGAAACATGTATTACTTCTCCTAAATCTTACCTCCTCAGTATAAGAAGTACCACAAAAAAACCCAACCCTGATATAAAGTTTTACGTCAATGCCAAGAGCAATCTAATGAATACTTTTTGCAGTTCATATCTTGACCTTGGGACTGAAAGTCTGGGTCATGCAACTCCATAAACATTCATAGAGTTATAAAACATATGAAGTTCCCTCAAAGTTGGTTTATATGACAAAACTCAGCTATTTAAACAATATCAGCTGCAAGAAGGAGCTATCATGATGGTTTATGAAACTTCTAACATTTTGCATATCTTAAAAAAAATTGCAGAAATAAGGTTATCTTGAGATATCTTACCAAATTGGTCACTGAACTTTAAGATTAAAAACAGTTTTTGAACTAAAAACATGACTATTACTCGCTCTTGAAATTCCAAATCAAGGTAATTGATTTCTTAGTCCAGACCACATTTACTCCTCTAGCAGGCTGCAAGGAGAAGAACAAGAATAACTGACCACCATCATCCCAATGAATCAGACCTGAACAGTGGGTTATAGAATGTTAAGAGTTTCTTGTTAAAGCATCAGTGTTTCAAAAAAAATCTTGCATATCAGAGTAGCCAAGGAGGGCTTACAGAGGGCCAAGGAGATCCGTCAGACAGCTTTGGTAGGTCAATCATTAACATATGTTTAGTAGAACTATTGTACAACCAGAAACACATCATATGGTAACGTCTACAAGAAATTACTTTATGCCGATCTGACATGGAAAACATACATCTCATATTCAGAAAATTCCAAGTTTGAACAACGACTAATGTAAGAGGTTAAATATGAGGGGAAGAAAAAAAAAAAAAAGAACTCAGTAATGTTATCCTCCTTCTGAAAAGGTTCCTTTTGTATACCACATAGTTCTACAAATTTTACCTTTTGTGACTTCCTGGCTCTTCCCTCATTCCTTAACAGTTTTGGAGGCTCTACTAGAATGCCCAAAAATAGTTCACAAAAAAATCAGTGCAGTACTGTTTGATGTTTCAGGTCCATGTTTTGTTTTTTTTTTAAAAAAAAGGTACAATCAAATCTAAACACATTTGGCAAAGGTTATATCTAAGATATCCTCAGTAATACTCAAGAGTAATGAAATACAAAAAGCATGTATTTAAAACAAACGATTCACCAACCAAGAAAAATAGTTTTCAATAGATAGCTCTGCATCCGTTTCAGCACGTAACAAGATGGTAGCTTTTGAGCCACACAAACAATGCACCTCAAACTTCAGATCAAAACATTATGCTTCAGAAAAGAAGGTTCACACCTTATAGATTTAATAACAGTGACAAAAAAAAGCTTTAATCGGCTTTATTAAGAGATATTTAAAAATATATCAGTTTATCATATCCGACACTGGCTGAATGCTCTGAACTGAGTGCCTGAACACATATCCTACAACTCTAAGTAATTTTAAGATGGACTTGTATCCATGAAAAGCAAACCATTGCAGGCTGCGAGAATACTTCATACCATCGTTGCTATATGCAGGCACAGTGCATATATGCTATATGCAACACCTGTTTGGTGTTGGTTTTTTCCCCTAAATACCTACAATCAACCACTTATTTGTGTTCAAAATAACTAAAACGAGTCTGGAATTTGATCAATTGTCCATTTAATTGTATTGAAGGACAAGTCAAACAGCTGAAAGGAGTTAATTTTGGCCTGCTTAGTGTAATTTAGAAATTACATTAAAATAATGCCCTAGAAGTAGACAACTACAATTATGCTTGCTGTCTTCTGAAAAACATGTATTTCACAAGACTTTTCTAGCTAGAAAATAAGAGGAAGCAACATTAGCTGAAGGCTAAATAATCTCCATGTCCTCAACAATTTATTTCTCCACCAAGTCATTTTTAGCACTGTTCAACTGCCTAAACATGGTGTATTAAAAAGTGCATCAATTTCATGTTAATGGGCCATGAACATTGGTAAGTAACATTTTTCCCTCTTCTTTATAAAGATAACAGTTCAGCATAGACTAGATCTCTTCAACTACTTGTGTACCAAGTCTTTGTGGGAAACAGGGAGGATGGAACTTACTTGTAGGGTACAAACAAAATAATACACAATGACATTCTTCTATTAAGGGAAGGAGACAAGGCATAGTTATCCCTCAAGATTTTGCAGGCCTGGGCCTGTTTAAAAAACAGTGTATATTGTCTGCTCTTCAATTAATGATTTAGTCAAATAAAATACAATGTAACTACACTAATCAAATTGAAATATCTTGGAAAATAGGCAAACAAACATTTATATATTATTGCTTCAGATTATTTATTCATTTTCAAAGCAATCTTATCTATGTGTGATCAAAGATCACTGTTCAAAACATTTATATTCGGTAAAGGAACATGTTTTCTTTTTATACTTCAAATAAAGATGGAAGATGTAAGTTCCTTCTTCCATGAGTTCCCTGGAGCTCTTTAAAACTTCCTGTCACCTACACACTTCTAAGTCTGAAAATGAAGATGGGTTCTTC